GTGCCAGCTCAATATACAAAAAGAATTTTCTTAAAATGACATCTAATTTGGGGTGGTCATGAGCATCCCAACCATGAGAGGTGGCAAGCTGAGGAATGGCAGAGGTTGGCTTAGATGTCCTTCGCTCAGAACCTCTTACTCTCTAAAATAATAATTTCCAAAGTACAGGAGGAAAATATTAGTTCATCTATCTCTACTTAACTTTTTTTTTTTTTTTTTTTTTTTTTAAATTATATTTTATTGATTTTTTACAGAGAGGAAGGGAGAGGGATAGAGAGTTAGAAACATCGATGAGAGAGAAACATCGATCAGCTGCCTCCTGCACACCTCCTACTGGGGATGTGCCCGCAACCCAGGTACATGCCCTTGACCGGAATCGAACCTGGGACCTTTCAGTCTGCAGGCCGACGCTCTATCCACTGAGCCAAACCGGTTTCGGCTCTACTTAACTTTTAACTAAAAATAGTGAATAGTACATCGTTCAGCTCTGATGTGCACCCTCTGCCATATGTCAGACATCAAATGTCATGTCCCCTGAGGCCAGCGGGGAGCTCAACAATACAGGCAGGTCTGCTGTGGCCACATTTTCCACTTTCTACATTCAGCCTGTTTTGACATATTTTGGTGTACTAGTGCTGGGTTGGGTGGCTTTGAGGATCAAACAATATAGCTTTGACTGACTCAGCCCCCATAGCATGGACAAGTAGCTTCAAAGAGCCCCTGCAAAGGAACCTTGAGTGGAGATAACGCTAATCTAGGAAGTACAAGCAAGCAGCAGGAAATGTGGGAGACAGACCCCCCTCCCTCCCCAGTTCAAGTCCTTCATCAGCCACATTATCACGTTGAAAACAACAATGAATGGGATCTCTCGCATGTATACTTGCTTACTGAAATAATAATAATAAGAAAAAAGTATTTGAGATGTGAACGTCCATCACTATCATCAGTGAGAAAATTCACCACGAGTGTATATTGGGACATTAGCTAATGGTCCACAGTACTTGTACATAATTTATAAATCTATAAATATGTATCTACTAGAGGCCCGGTGCACAACATTCCTGCACCTGTGGGGCCCCGTCCCCCAGACCCCCAATATTCATGTATTTTTGTATATGTATGTATGTATGCATATTTTGTTATTGTTAATCCTCACCGAGGACATTTTTCATTGATTTTTAGAGTAGAAGGGAAGGCGAGAGACAGAGAGAGAAACGTGGATGTGAGAAAGACAAATCAATTGGTTGCCTCCTGCACATGCCCCCACCGGATCAGGCAAAACAACAACACCACTGACAGGGCCGACTGCTGGCGGCCGCTGGGGCTCAGGCGTTGAGCGTATGGCGATTTTCTGTTTCTGCTTCCACTTGTGGTCGAGGTCCTGCTTGAAGGAGCTGCTGATGTAGCGACCACTTTCTGTCTTGATCTTCTTCTTGTCCTCCTGTCCTGACTGTCCCACAAACTGCTTCTTCTTCTGGTCCCACTTGGGCTGCTGCCGGCCCCTGGTCAGGATCTGGGCCTCGCCCCCCATCAGGTCCAGGACAGCCCAGCCACCTGCTGCTCCCAGGCGCCCCTGTCCCCACCAACGCTCAGGCCCCGTTCACTGTCCAAGTCCTTGGGCAGATCGGGGACATAGAAATCCTGGTCCAGCGGCCGGGCCTCCTCCTCCCGCCTCTTGGCTCCCAGTCCAGGTCCTGGCTGCTGCCGTTTCAGGCCCAGACCTCTGTGAAGACGTCCTCCACACTCTCTCCCTCCTCCTCCTCCTCCTCCTCCCCCCCCTCCTCCGCCTCTTCCTCCTCCTCCTCTTCCCCAAGATGCTCTGCCTGCCACGCTGGGCAGCTCCCGGCTGGGCCAGCCAGCCCTCCTGCCGCTCCTGCGCCCTGCTGGAAGCTGGTGATGGCCTTGCAGTCCTTCTGCCATTTGCCCCACATCACCTGGCTGCTCAGGTCCGGGCTGGAGGCACTGATCTCAAAGACGGTAGCCCGCGAGCGGTACTGCTTGATGCTGTCCACCAGCCTCAGCCGCTGCAGCTCCTTCTCCTTGAAGCTCAGCTGAAGAGGGGGTGCAGGCCCAGCCCGGCGAGGTCCAGCTCCTTGGCTCATTTGATGGACTCTGGCGAGGGCGCCGATCACAAGTGCACGTACTGCTGCTGGGCGTTGTCCGTGGCCCAGGCCCCGCTGCTCCCGTGACACTTCCAGGGTGTTCCGCAGGCAGTAGTCCTTGGCGTCCACCACGCTCTGTGCACCCGGCCCAGCATCTGAGGGCTCCTCATGGGGGCGGGAGAGGGTGAGCACACGGCCCAGGAACAGGTGCAGGTCCAGCAGGTAGGGGACCTCATCTGGGGCCACCAAGGAGTAGGCTGTGCCACTTGTGCCAGCTCAGGCCACACCACCCACGTGGTGCAGGAAGAGCTTGCCCTTGGCCGGGAAGCTGAGGTTGATGGCGTTGTCCAGCAGTGGGATGTCCAGGCCCCCGGCCGCCAGGTCAGTCACCAAGGAGGTAGAGCACTTGCCATGGGTGATCTTGGCCAGGTTGATCTTGTGGGCCGGCTGGTCCAGGGCTCTGTAGATGTGGGTGTAGCTCACCCGCTGGAGCGGCCTCAGCCTGGGGGGGATGGGGGCAGGCCGGATGGTGGTTGAACACCGCAGTGCGCCTCATAGCGACCAGTCCTTCAGCCATTCGATCGATTTGCATACTAGCCTTTTATTATATAGGATTGGGGTTCCTCAAGCATTTTTCACAATCAGAAAGTGTGACAACTACTGCGCCAGATCCTTAGGCCCAGCTAGACACTAGGGAGGATATTCCCTGTTTGGGCTTGGGGGTATAATCAGATTTACTTCAGATTTAGGGACCAAGGAAAACTAGGTGGGAGTGTGCCACTCAATAAACTTTTGTGAGGCCTCCCCAGATGTTTGACAATTAATCGGAAGAAACAGTCTTAAAAGGTTTTCCCTGGCTCTGACTCCCCAAGGTGGGAGCCAGTCCAGTTTCTTCTTTCTCATCCTCTCATCTAAGTTTCTCTGTCTTTCTGTTTCCTCTCTCTCTTCTTCACTCCCACCATCTCTCTCTCTCTCTCTCTCTCTCTCTCTCTCTCTCTCTCTCTCTCTCACACACACACACACACACACACACACACACACACATAATTGGCAACAACAAAAACCAGAAGGGAGGTATTCGGTGCACAGAAAGAGCTTGCTGGCTCTTGAATGTCAGGCAGGCCTGGATTCAGTTCCCACCTCGACCCAGCACTGACTGTGAAGACCTCAGAAAGTCACATCCCTTCTCAGAGCCTCAGAATCCTCTGGAAACATGAGCATGACTACTACTCAACAATAAAAAGAAAAAGAACTCAATTTTAAAAGAGTCAAACGGTTTGACTAGATATTTTTCTGAAAAAGATAGTCAATAGCACATGGAAAGATGCTGGACACCACTAGTCACTAGAGCAATGCCAATCCAAACCACGGTGAGATACCACTACATGCTCAGTAGGATGGCTGAGGTAAGAAACATAAGTGCTGGCGATGGTGTGGGACATTGGAGCCTTTATGCATGGTTGGTGGGATTGTAAAATAGTACAGCTGCTTTGGAAACCAATGTGACAGCTTCTCAAAATGTTAAACATAGATTTATCATATGACCAAGCAATTCTACTCCTAGATATATACCCAAGGAGACTGAAAACGTGTCCACACAAAGATTTGTACATGAATATTCACAGAAGCATTATTCACAATAGCCAAAAGGTGGAAACAACCCAAATGTCCATCAGCTGAGGAATGGATAAACAAAATGTGATATGATCGTACAATACAATGCTATCCAGCCATAAAGAGGAAGAAGTGCTGACACATGCTACAACATGCATAAGCCTTGAAAACATGCTCAGTGAAAGAAGCCAGTCAGAAAGGATCATCTACTGTATGATTCCATTTACATGAAATGTCTAGAATAAGCGAATCCATAAAGAGAGCAGATTAGTGCTTGCCGGGGCAAAGGGGAGTGAGGAGTGACTGCCAAAGGGTATGGGGTGATTTTGGGGGTGATAAAATGTTCTAAGCTGGATGGTAGTGATGGTTGCACTACTTTGTGAATATACTAAAAATCACAGAATTGTACGCTTTAAAGGGGTGAATTTTATGGCATGTGAATGATAGCTCAATAAAGTTTTTATTCTTTTTTTTTTTTAAAGAGGGCTTCACACATAAGATTGTTGTGAAAGTAAAACAGGGCCTGGGCCTCTGGCAGGGCAGTGCCCAGCATGGTCCCTGATGTGGAGCAGTGTGGTGCCTTCAGAGGGCTGCGAGGCGCAGGTGCCTAGAGTCTTAGATGGCTACACTAGCCTGAATTCTAGGAATTTCAGTGCCAGGAGGGAGTCTCGTTACTTCCTGATCTGCTGAGTTTGGATCCCAAACAGGACACGCCACACTTCACTCAATACAGCTCCCCCAACACGCCTTCCTGACTCAACTCTTCTCGCAGTTTCTAAACAAAACAATAAATAACAGGCATGAAACCATATATCATCTTTCTTGTTCCCCCTTGAAAGAAAAATATACTGACTCGAGTCCCAAATGCTGCCTCTGAGGAGAGAAGCTGGGATGCTCTGAGCAGTGGTGGCTCCCCTGATTTGGGATGACAGCCTGGGGGCAACGGGGAGGGTGGCGCTGGGACAGGAGGGTGTCCTGTCCTTCACTTCCCTTGTTGGTCAAAGCACAGAGGCTGGGAGGTTTGAGGGGACATAACCTCACCCTCCGAAGCTATTTGGCCCCACAGGGTAGAGGTATCTAGTCAGGTATCTAGTCAGACCCTTCATTTCACAACTGGGAAAACAGGCTCAGAAAGATCAAGGGGTTTTCGGAAGCAAGTTAGTGACAGAATCAGGAATTGGCCATCTGCTATGCCCGGCTGAAGCCTCAAAGTGACCTGGGGCGGGGGGTGAATATTTGTCATCCTCCCCTGATTTTCCCAGAGATGGAAGCTGAGGTGCTCACCCACAGCTAGGAAGACACAGAGCTGGAATTCAAATCCAGGTCCACCTAGAAACCACAAAACATCAGCTGTGTCGAAGAGCCAATTAGAACATAACCCCTCACCCTGGCCCATGTCCCATTACCTGCTGTCCCGAGGCCTGTCAGGTACAAGGTGAGCTGAGTGTGGACTGTGCTGATGCCAGGCTGGGCAGGGGAAAAGGGCGGCTGGAGAGGCCCCGCCACACCCCCATGACAGGCAGGGGGCGGGGCGTGACGTGTCCCTGGGCCACACTCACTCAGCGAAGTGGCATTCCTTCCTGCCAGTGCTATCAGCCCAGGCCTTCCTGACTGACCTGTCTCTTCCCTATGACACCCCAGGAGCAGCAGATGGGGCAACCACCCCCAAGAGGCCCGCCCCCGGGCCATGGCCATGCCCTCTATCTCCAGGGGGAAGTGATGTGGGGACGTTGCACCACCCTTGGCTGTGCTAAGCTCTGGGCAGGGAGGGGGTGGGGCGCCTCCCAAGTCCTCCTTCCACCTGCACTGGTGAGGCTGACTCAGGGCCCAGCCATGTGGACCAACCTGATGCTACTGGGAAGGGTGAGGCTGGGCAGACAGCAGGTGGAGGGGGGTGGGCACTCAAGGGACTGGGGATTCCTGTGAGCAGACTGGCAGTGCCCTCTCCTGGTGAAGAAATTGGGCAAAGGCTAGAACATTCACTGCCTGTGCAGATGGGAAAACACAAGTCCTGAGGTGGGGGGGGGGGGGGCAGGAGGGGGAACCAACCTCTTACAGATAAGTCCAGGACTAACCCCAGCTCAGCCTGCTTCTGCCTCTCACTCACTTATTAAACACTCTAAAAGCAGGACAGTAAGCAAGTCCTACACTGCCCTGGGGAGCACCCAGGCCAGAGGGAGACAGGCCATGACAGGCCCCATGAGGGCAAGGCCCCAGGAGCTGTGAGTTCCCAGGGCTTCCTAGAAGAGGAGTCATCCAGATTCTAAGCTCAGGCCAAAATCTGGGAGTCACCCTTTACTCTTTGCTCTCCCTTATTCTGTAGCTGACCTATCTGGAAAGCCCTGTTGGCCTCACCTTCTACATATCCCACATTTGGCCCCTTTTCTCAAAGGCAACCACCCTGGTCCAGACAATACAATTGCTAGACTCTCTGCTCCTGACCTCAGCCCACCGTCTGTTGTCATTACAGCAACCAAAATAATCCAACTAAAACCCATCTCCGATCATGTACCTCCTCTGCCCAGCACCCTGCCAGGGCTCCCCCTCACTCAGAATAAAACTCCAGTTCTTTCACAGCCCTGCATCATCTACAGCCCGCCTCTTGCTCTCTCTGATCTTAATGTCTGTGACTTCCTCTCTCACTCTGCCCCAGTCACACTGGAATGTGCTCCAAACACTCCAGTCAGACTCCCTCCTCGGGGCCTTTGCACCGGGCATTTGCTCTACCCCGAATGCTTTCCCCAGACAGCTACCGGGCTGCTTTCCTCACTTTTCAGGTCTCTACACAAATGTCACCTTCTTCCCTGGCCACCCTGAGTGACGTAGTAACTGCCAGCACCACCTTTCCCTCTCATCCTGCCTTATTGTTCGCCATCTGACATACTGTATATTTTCTTGTTACGCATATTTCCTGGCTGTGTATTTGTTTGTTCCAGGATCTAGGACAGTGTCTGACACACAGCAGGTGCTCAATACATTTTGTTGAACAAATAAGTGACCTGAAAGCGTAGCCCAAGAAGCATTCCAAAGGCATTCTAGGCAGAGGGAACCATGTGCGCAACCATACATGCTTAGAGGTGAGAGACACTGCTGTGCTGAGGATCTGCGAATGACTCAGTACAGTGGGAGAGCAGGGGCGTGGGGACCTGGGGGGGGGGGGGCGGGAGGGGGAGAAGGGAGAGTGAGAGAGGCAGGGTTCCGAAGTCAGGCCAAGGAAGCTGAATGTTATGCTGAGAGTGATGGGGAGCCACGCAAAACAGACACGATCAAATTTATTAGTTTTAGACAACAATTTGGCTACCTTATTTTGGATTGGTGCGGAAGCTGTGGGAGGTAGGCATCCGGTGAGCATGAGCCAGGGCAGGAGAGATAAGGACAGGGTCAGGGTCCTGCACTGTTGAAACTGCCAGCCACATGTGGCTGGTTATGGAGCCTTTGAAACGCGACTGGTCGGAATTGAGAGGTGCTGTGTGTTTAAAACACACACTGGATTTCCAAGACGTGGTATGAAAATAAAATATATACAATAGCTTATTTTGGATATATTGGGTTAAATAAAATATATTATGAAAGTTAGTTTCACCTGCTTCTTTTTGCTATTTTTTAAGTAGCTACTGGAAAATTAAAATTTTTTTCATAGGCACATAGAGCTCACAGTGTATTTCTGTTGGACAGCATTGAGTTAGAGGGTAGAATGGACAGGGCTTGGTGGTCAGTGGACTGTGGGGGTGAGGGAGACCCTGTTCTAATTGCAAGTTCCCACTCCCCTCCAACTGCTCCGTTGTGATGACAGCATAGTCTAGAGGCAGAAAGAAGGGGCCACAAGGAAGAACCAATAGAGTTAGTTTTTATCTCACACACACAATTCATATCATCACAGTGAGAACTATTTAGAAATAGGTTGACAGAACAGGCAATTAGACCTCTGTCCTGGAGGGCTGTAAGAAGAAACTTGAAGACCATCACTAAGCAGGGAAAAGGAAGTTGAACTAATTATTCTCAAAATATGGTCCCTGGACCAGCACCATCAACAGCACCTTTTAGAAAAGCAGATTCTCAGGTCTCATCGCAGTCCTACTGAATCACAAACTCTGGAGGTGGGACCCACAATTTGTAATTTAACAAGCCCCCAAGGCGATTCTGATGCCTACTCAAGTTTAAGGACCACTGGACTAAATAATATTCCTACCATATGTGAATGACTGACACATAGGAGGTGATAAAAAAAAAATAGCCACTACCTTTTGCTGGCCTTCCAGTTCCAAGTTGAGGTACTCCCCCTCTCTGAGCAAATGCAGAATTTACCTCCTGCAGCACCTGGTTGTATGTGAACTTGGCACAGGGTGGAGGCACAGACTCAGGGCATTTCCTATCTGTGCCACAGGCAGAACTTCAGGACCACGACAGAGCTGCCAGATGTGTGAGGGAGGCCCCAGCTCAACTTCATCCCAAGGTGACCCCACTGCCGTGTGTGTGTGTGTGTGTGTGTGTGTGTGTGTGTGTGTGTGAGAGAGAGAGAGAGGGGGGGGGGGGAGAGAGAGAGAGGGGGGGGAGAGAGAGAGAGAGAGAGAGAGAGAGAGAGGGAGAGAGAGAGAGAGAGAGAGAGAGAGAGAGAGAGAGAGAGAGAATGTGTGGGGGGGTGTTGATTCATGAGGTAACCCCCCACTGTCCTGTGGGCACAGCTGACAGCCCCGCCGGAGCCAGCTCAGCAGCTGAGCGTGGCATCCGGCTTCCCTGCATTCCAGAACTGCCAGCCTGAGGCCCACCTGACTCAGCAAGCACGTGTGCTCTGGAGACACCAGACAGCTCAGACACAGTCTCCATGTCCATACAAACACGGGAGGAGGCAGCTCCTACCCAGGGTGAGATTAATTGTACAAAGTGCTCAGATCAGTGCCTGGACAGTTAGCTCTCACTACCCCTTGGCATTCTTGTGATGGGGCCATGGATCCCTCTGGCTGATGGAAACTCCCCAATGACCTCTTCTGTCTGAGGATTATGCACTGTAGGTATAAGGGGGAAAGAATGTGCACCTACTGTGAGTACCCAGTTCCTGACAAAGACCCTTGTAATTCCCTTAGTTGGTGGAGGTGATCAGCTCACCTTACACAGAGCTCCTAAATCCCTTGACATTTTCTGGGTGATGGAAGCCTCTTTTGTTCTAAGGAGCCAACTCTTGGTGAGCTCTTGGATAGCTCCAGGATGGGGCTGGTCACCAGGAAGACCGAGCTGTGATTAGAAACTTGGAACTTTCAGCCTCTGGGAGGGGAGAGAGGCTGGAGACCGAGCTAATATTTATTTGGTCATGCCTAGGTGATGAGGCCTCCATAATAATCCCTAATCTATGGGGTTCAGAGAGCTTCCAGATTAGTGTGTCAGGAAGGTGGTGTACCCCAATTCCATGGGGACAGAAGCCCCTGTACTTGGGGCCCTTCCAGACCTCACCATATGTTCCACTTCATCTGGCTGGTCATTTATATCCTTTATACCAATATAATAAACCAACAAACATAAGTAAACTTGTTCCTAAGTTTTGTGAGCTTTTCTAGCTAATTATTGAACCTGAGGAGGAAGCCTTGGGAACCCTCGATTAATAGTAGGTCAGTCAGAACTGTGGGAGGCCTAGACTTGCAATTGGCATGTGAAATGGAGGAAGTGTCCTGGAAATAAGCCCTTCATATTTGGAGGCTGTGCTAACTATGGGTAGTTAGTGCCAGAATTGCTTGGTATGAGGGGGAAAAAATCACATATTTGGTGTCAACACTTAGAATACTAGCATTGAACATGTAAGTAAATACATTGTAGATAATAAGAATAAGACCTACCCCTGTTAAAGAAAGACATTACAGCCTGGCCGGCCCGGCTCAGTGCGTGTCTTGTTATCCAAAGCCACACAGCCAGGAAGCAGCCTCGCAGGGATTTGAACCCAGGACTGCTTTGCTCCAAAGCAGGAGCTACTCCCTTTCCCAAGAGCCAGCAGCCTCCTGGCTATTTAGAGAGGGCTCTCCTTGTCCTCCACACAACTTGAATGTAACTGTGGGCAGCTTCACGGAAGAATTGTTGCCCAAAGTATTAAGGGTTCTGGGGCCAGTCCTAACTCCATCCCAGATGGGTGACCCTTTGCCTCTCTGGGTCTCAGCTGCATCGCTATAAAATGAAGAAACGGATCCCGGTGGCCTGAGGGTTGGGGGTGGCAGGCAGCGGCCTCGGTGTACACTTTTCAGATCCTACCTGGCTCTTGGACAGACCGCCTTGAGAAGTGGGGTAGGGTGGAAGGGCTGTGGGTGGCTTGACCTACAAGTAGCAGCTCCTGTTCCCTGAATGCTTCGAGGAGAAAGCTGCGGCCCAGAGAAGTACAGTGACTTGGCCACGGCTACACAGGAGGGGGACTGGCGGAACTAGGGTTCCAACCTGAGACTGTGATACCATGCCCCGGCCACCGAGCAGGGTCGAGGGGCTCAAAGGGAAAAGCCGGGACCCACAGGAATCACAGGGAGGAGTGGTCCCGTGATAAGTAGTGACCTCCCCGTCGCTGGGAGCATGCAAGCCGCTGCTGGCCGTCCACGTGCTGGGGCTGACGCTCAGGAGGGACTACGGAGCCTCTCGCGGACCACCCCGCTCTGCCTTCCGCAGCGGCGGCGGCCGAGGC